TTTAGGGTGTATGTGTTTAAGGTTTAGGGTTTAGGGTGTATGTGTTTAAGGTTTAGGGTTTAGGGTGTATGTGTTTAGGGTTTAGGGTTTAGGGTTTAGGGTTTAGGGTTTAGGGTTTAGGGTGTACGTGTTTAGGGTGTATGTGTTTAGGGTGTATGTGTTTAGGGTTTAGGGTTCAGGGTTTAGGGTGTATGTGTTTAGGGTTTAGGGTTTAGGGTGTATGTGTTTAGGGTTTGGGGTTTAGGGTTTAGGGTGTATGTGTTTAGGGTTTGGGGTTTAGGGTGTGTGTGTGTTTGGGGTTTAGGGTTTAGGGTTTAGGGTGTATGTGTAGTTCTAAATTAGGGTCCCTTTTAGGGTCCTTTTTATAATGGTGCCGTACTATATTGGGGGCCTAAAATGGGGCCCTAATTTAGAGAACTACCCATGTGCTTGGAGCTGAAGGTTTAGGGTTTAGAGTCGGGGATCTAGGGTTTGGGGCCTAAACCCTATAGACCCTAGACCCTAAACCCTATAGACCCTAGACCTAGATCCTAAACCATATAGACCCTGAAACCCGAAAATAAGTTTAAAGCTGTGGGTTTAGGGCTCAGGGTTTCGAGCTGGGGGTCTGGGACTTAGCGGTGTTGTAGGGCTGGTATCAAAACCTCTGCGCGGCTTCTAGCGCATTGGGCTGTGCGCGTGGCTACCCACGCTGTGGGCTAAGGGTCTGCTCGAAACCCCTACACCCTAAATCCTAAATCCTAAACCCTAAACCCTAGACCCTAAACCTTGAATCCTCAACCCCCAAACCCCAAACCCCTACACTCTAAACCCTAAGCCTTAGAACGCAACCTATTGATTCCAGAACCACGATCTGGCAAGTCACATACAGTAAATTGAAGACGCTCTGCACAAATCAAAACCAGCATCATATCGTAATCTTGATCACAATAATTTAAAACTATAACTATTGGTTGAAACTCCTAAACCCTAAACCCTATACCCTATTAGTTGAAATTCTCATAATGTAAGGGCCTGAATAATTAGAACAGGGTTTTCGGCTCCTTTATAGCATTATTATGAGAAGGAACCCCCAAAATAGAAAAGGTAATTAGAACCCTAAACCCTAAACCCTAAAGGCTAGACCCTATAAACCCTAAACCCTAAACCCTGAAAACCCTAAAAACCCTAAACCCTGAAATTCCCATATCCGACACCTGCGGGTCGATTGCACTCGCTTGTGGCTCGCCAGAGCTGAAGTGAACAACGCAGGGGGCATGTCGCCATGTGCGAGGCACCGCAACAGGGTCTGGAACTTTCGGGGCTTTGGTTCAGGGTTTTGGGCTTAGAGAACATTCAGGGCTTTGGTTTAGGGTTCTGGGAATAAGGGTTGAGGGTTTAGGGAACTTTCATTGCTGTGGTTTAGGGTTTTGGGTTTAGGGAACTTTCAGGGCTTTGGTTTAGAACTTTCAGGGCTTTGCTTTTAAGGTTTCGGGGATAAGGGTTTAGGGGGGCTTGAGTTCGAGGGCTTTTGGGATTGGGGTCTTAGGGCTTTAGGGTTGTCTTAGGGTTTTACGGTTTTGGGGTTTAAAACCCTAAACCCTAAACCCTAAACCCTAAACCCTAAACCCTTTTAGGACTTTAGGGTTCAATGGTGATGGGGTTTAGGAGTTTGGGGCTCCACTGGTTCTAAACTGCTTGGGTTCTCGCCAGTTTTCAACCACCCCCTGCGGTAATGTCGTGTCCTAAACCCTAAACCCTAAACCCCAATCCCTAAACCCTAAACCCTAAACCCCAAACCCTAAACCCTAAATCCTAAACCCTAAACCCGAAAGGCTAAACCCTAAACCCTCAACCCCGGGGTGTCTTGCAAAAGCCTGGGCTTCAGGCGGCATCGCAGAGCTGTGACATGCCCACTTGGGTGCCGAAAACTTGTCTGCTCAAGTTTAGGGTTTAGGGTTTAGGGTTTAGGGTTTAGGGTTTAGGGTTTAGGGTTTAGGGTTTAGGGTTTAGGTGCTCAAGACCAACACACATCTGTGCGTCTGCAAGGGGATGAAGATTGGATTCTTCGTGGAGTGCTGCTGAAAAGCCACGAGATCCTGAAGGTTAGTGAAATTCATATTGACACTGGTCATGAGAAGAAGCATAGATGCGGATGAAAAACATGAAGATAATGATAGTGCGGGGTCTTTAACACACTGACGATGGTCCAGCTCTCAGATGAGGCCACCTCCCCAAAGTACCCGGTCTCGCTGGAACTCGTCCTGCACGAATACGTCACAGCTTCACTCTGAGACACGTACTCGAAATCATCACCGGTTCTTTGTTGGGGCAGTATTAAAAATGATCATTGTTAATCCTTATCGGGTTAAATGATAACAAAAGTGTAAAATGGTATCCAACAAACACCCAGATCAGATTCTTCCAGCCTTTCTTGCCGAGCAACAGCAGCGACAGCATCATTCATATCACAAGCAGCGTCCACATGATCGCTGTTGTGACACATACTGTCGTGCATCTTCTCACTACTGCCTTCCTTGACATCACTTGTAACACTAGTGGACTGCTTTCTTGGACCATCTCCAGCACTGTCAGTATAGCCACAACCATCTGTAGATTTTAGGGTTTATGGTAGCTTGGTGCTTTAGGGTTGGGACTTAGCACCAAGATGCCAAGGAATCCCGTAGGACCTAGCAAACACCCGGCTGAAGGAACTAGCAAACACCCGGCTGAAGGAACTGCTGTCAGAGGTACGACAGCAGCAAGAACGTGATAATGCATAGGAGCAATTACGAAGAAGCAAAAAAGCACCAAGTTGCCACGTCGACCTGCCTTCCTCAAGCCTAAACTCTAACCCCGATGCAGAGCTCCAAACCAAACCCTAAAGTCTATATGCTATACTGCATGCCCTACTTGGAGGTTCATGGGTAGTTATAAGTGGGGTTATAAGTAGGGTAACTATAATTATAACCCATATTAGGGGACTTATAACTTCACTTACAACTACCCATGAACCTCCAAGTACACTTGAGCCCTCAAGCCTAAGCCCTTAACCTTGGAGCA